TAAATAGGAAGGGATGGACAGGTTGAAGGGAGGGCTAGGAATGGGGAAAAAATAAGAACCAAGATGCATCATGTAAAGGTACAAGTTCCCAATGAGAAATGTAAATGTGTTGTGTACCTACAATGTACCAATAAAAGAATTTAAAATGTAAAAAAAAAAAAAGAAGAAGAAGAAGTGAGAGCTATAGGAGGCATGAACTGCTGCGTTACATTCAAGATTGGGGGTAGTCTGCTGCCTCGGAAATGGATGGGACTGTGGAATGGCGATTTCTTGAAGATCATTACTTTTGCCTCTGTTGTATCCTGATCTTTGACCCAAAATTTTATGACATTAAATAACTATTTTTCTCAAAGAAACTGCCTGCAAGCAGCCCTGTCCCAGTCGGCCCATGGAGAATTTGGCCTGGGACCACCTAGGCTTGCAGTGAGAAGCCTTCATCTGTCCTTTTTCTGCAGCATTTTATACTTGGAGGAGGGGTCGTGCCTGCTTGTCCATTGAAAAAAATTGTAACAACCAGTGACTACAGACTAGTTAGCTACACTGCTTGCCTTCTCCTTCCCTTTTGGTCAACCATCCTGGTAACCTTACCTTGCAGAAAGAGATTTCTTCTCAATGCTTTCTCAAAGCTGCACATATTCCTGTGGCTGAGCAGTCAGTTTTTGATAGCTCCCTAGAGGCTGGCTTCATTAAAAAACTGCTAACAGGTTCACATTGCCACTAACACTTCCCTGCTGCACTGGTTTATCTTCGGTGATAATGTCTGATGTTCAGAGGCCTTAAATACACCCAAGTGGGTGGCCACATCTGGCAGGGTGCTTGAGAAAAGGCCTGGACTTTGCTGGTCAGCATATAGACTGCCCTGAGTAGTCACATGTCACCTTGGCCTCCAGCTCCACTTCCCTTCCCTCCTGCAGAAGGAGCCCCTGCTACCTCCTGCCCGCCTGTAGGTGACAGATGAGTTAGGTAGAAATATTACAGGCAGTCAGATAGGGCTAGGTCCTCAGAGGTCAGGACAAAGGTGAAACACACCACAGCAGTGACCAGAGACACATTGGCTGAAAACCAGGCCTCAGGATAAATACAGGATGATCAGACCTACATACTTCCTCAAAGAACAAACACTGGGCCTAATGAAGTCTAGATAGATATCAGCCACCCTGGTGGGTGACCAGAGACCTCTGGGCCCACCACTTCCTAAGAGAATCTTTGTTCTTTCCACCCACATTTGTTACGTGACTTGCTTCCCAATTGGACACCATTACTAAGTGACTGTCCTTGCAACCTTATTGCATGTTCATGGCTGTGGCCCACGTTGTACCCAGGT